GGGGGGATCAACACCTGCTGGGGTTTAACCAGTGTTGCAGCTGTGGACTGGTCTGATCCAGGCAAATGTTGAAGCTGTCAAACAGCCCACCCTCCAGCACCTTACACCTCCCGCAACCCCACCGTTTGGCCACCTGCCCTCTTGGCATAAGCCTTTAAATGTTTACAAGCAAAAACACATAGCTAGCAGCCTGGGAGAGACTTGTTGCGTGAAGGTATGCAGGTGCTGACACATGCTCTCGCCCCGGGGGCAGTGATACACCGCTTGGCAACGGCCGCGGCAACAGGCAGTAAAGTGACGTGTGTTCTGGCAGTGAGAATTTATTAAGAATGAATGTGAATAAAGGAATGATTAATTGGTCTCTTTGTGATTCCCGAAAACGTTGCCCGTGTGTGTGTGTGTGTATCGTAGTCTTAGTGGAACCATCCCCCGCCTCCAAACATTTTTCAGTTTCACACCTCGACCCAGAAAAAAGTAAAACCCCCATCCCGGGTTTTCGTGCTGTAACCTGTCCAACAGTGGACTAACACTTGCAACACGAGATTCCAGCTTGAGTTTTCAGGACGGCGCTGTTGTCGAGTGCAGTTAAGGTGAGACGTAGAGTGTGTATCGTGGTGAATGCGAGCACAGCAGCTTAGATTTCAGGAGGAAAGACGAGAGAGAGAGGCCGACATTATGCAAATGTTTCAAGGTTTTTATCTGAATGGAGGAAATCTCTCAGGATTGAGAGGGAAAAGGATGTTTTTGTTCTCTACGTTTCAGCGCTTGTACTTAAACATTATCCTTTGTATAAAACCACATGGTGTTTGGCGTGAACCTTGGCTATTTTTTTGGAGCTGGGGTGTTGTTTTTTAGAGCTGTTTATCTCAAGTTCTGTCAGTCTTCCTCTGCAAACATTTTAATGAGGTCTCATTTGGGTGGGTCTGCCAAAAGATAGCATCAGGCTACAGAGCTTTCCTGGTAGCTCCTGTTTAGATTTCTGTCATTTCTTTTTACTGAAATATTGTTTCTGAATCTGTTTCTCTACAGCGACACCGCAGTTCTTCCCGGCCTTCCATCCTCCGGTGCCAATCGACGACAGACATGCCCAAGGACGGTACATCTACGAGCCCTCGCCCGTGCCCCCACTTCACGTGTAAGTCTCTCAAAACCTTCTACCTCAAACAAAGGGATACAACGATATCCAAATATAACAGTCGTGCGACCGAAACAACACAAAAGTTGAACAAACAGCTCCGAGCGAGGTACCTTAAAAATGCAAAGTCATAGTTTCTTCAAACCAACAGGGAGAAACCATCCAACGACTCTTTGAAGTTTTTATTTGTCCGATTCACCAGCGACCCAAACATTCACGTGGAATCCTCACCCCAAACACAATACACTCCATCTGTCATTTTCACCCTCGGTGATTTATAGAAGCAGTGAGTGGAGCTGCAGAAGATGATGGAGCAAAAATAATGTTTTTGGATTCACTTGAAAGCACAAGTGAATCTTTGTCCCCATCATTAGCGACAGTGGAACCACAGACAATAGTTCCGACGATCCGACATGTAAACAAATAACATGTTCAGAGACTTTAGTTGGTAGATTTGTGGCTCGTTCCGAACTGGCCTCATGTAAACAAGGCACAAACAAGAGCGCGAAGAGCGTAAACACAGAGTGTATTTCAACTGTCTGCACCAGTCGGGACTAAACTACATGTAGGAGTACCAGGATGGGTCAAAGATTTCTGATGTTAAAACCTGGGTCTGTGTCTCCAACGACTTTGACAAGTTTCTTGATCGAGTTTATTAAACCTCAGGTTTGGAAATCAAGAAATCAAACTTGATTAGAAACCTGTTAAAATATTCAAAAGGTATTTTCAGCATCAAGAGCTCATTTTATCCGGAAATCAACATTTTGAAAAGACCCGTCCTTTCATGCGTCGGACACCCTCGGGGTGCTGTGACTGTGAGGTAGGTCTTACAATTTTGGATCGTAGAATTTATATTCCTTAGATGAGACGGAGAAACAGGAAGTGACCCAGAGACAAAGATGAAGATACATAGATACATTTCCTCAGACGTGAGTCGCTGCTGATCACACCTGAAAAGTCTTTCAATCCATCCTGTTATTAACGACGAGACAAATCACACTCTGAAACTTACCTTCTGCCCTTGGGCTCAGAGCATCTTCTTCATTCTGCTCATCCACCGTCCTGGGCTGCATCCTCCCCCCTCCCTTTCCTCCCCTCCTTTTTTTTTTTTTTAAAGGATCAAAGTCCACAGGGCCCTTTTTTTTTACGTGCGCAACATGATCTGCGTGTCAGAGACGCACAAATGAACATGTGTCAGAGACGTAGAAAGGAGAGCAGGGTTGAGGGGAGCCTGGGAGCGTGCCATTCTCATAAGAGCAGTGATCAAGCCCTGTCAAGAGCAGGAAGCAGTGCCTCCACTGACATCCACCCGTCTCTGACAGACAGACGGGCTCCTGACGCTCCAACTGTATACAAGTCTGCCAAATATGAAGTTAGGTCAAAACGATGAGTGTCGTGCCCTGTACGAGAGAGGTAGGTTTTTATGTGCAGGGATTTTCTTTCTTTCTTTCTTTCTTTTTTTGTTTTTATTGCGAAGTCTAGTATTTCCTCTGGAGAAACTCAACTGGACTTCAAAGCTCTTTCCTTCTTACTTTTAGCCGTCCCGCGCCCTCTCTCTCTCTCTCTGTCTCTCTCTTTTATTCCTGTCGTCATTTGTATTCTCCGGGTCTAAACCGTAAGTACAACCAGGAGATGCTTCCTCGTCCTTGTGCCGCTTGTTTCTTTCAACCTCAGACACGGAGGAAGCGATCAGCACGCGACGAGGACAAATTGGATGGAGCAGCTACTTGGGCCGCATTATGTTTGATATTCTTCATCATTATCAACTCCGCCCGCCTCTCTCTCTCTTTTTTTCTCAGCAGTCATATCTCTCCCTTGCTGATGTGCCACTAAGCGTAATGAATTTTTTATGTCCTCCCCGCCATCCCCACTTCTGGGCCCACCCCACCTCTCAACCCCTCGGAGCTGCAGCGGAGGCAGAGGGGAGGGAGGAGGAAATAAAAAAGGAGGTGATTGATGCCCCGTGTCACTGCAAACAAAATGGCAAATATAATTTAGCATTTAGCTTATGCAGAGATAATGGGGCGAACACGCGGCGCCAACACAGGCTTGAACAAACAGCCCGGCTTGTTATCCGTCAGGAGCGCTTTGGTACATTAGGGAGCACAGGTTAGGAAGGAGGAGGAGGAGGAGGAGGAGGAGGAGGAAGGAAATGAGAAAGGAGGTGATGGCGGTGGTGGAGGGACGACACGAGGACGGGGAATTGAATTAAGGTGGAGAAGTTGCGTGTCTTCAGTCACTCTGTCCGGACAGGAGTTATCTGCACGCTTGGTTTGCTGTCATTGGAGACCACGATACTTATGGCCTATTTATCCAAGCCATTAGGCATAGAGCTGTTTAATATGACACGTTAGGCTGAGGGGAAACTATTTGTCATTATTACAAGACAGCTGCTTAGCAGCCTTGGTTACTAATATAAGGAGTGTGGGACTCGCTGTGGTGCATATTACTGAGGAGTTCTCAGTTTTACAATGTCACCTGTGTCATTCAAAAAACACCAAGTCGGGCAGGAAACCAATACTAAAGATTTCTGTCTGTATTTATGTTGTTTAAAATTGTATTTTGTTCTTGGCTGGACCTTCTGTCTGTATTTATGTTGTTTAAAATTTTGTTTTTAAACAAAGTATTTTGTTCTTGGCTGGACCCGGTCCCCGGACTACTTAGGGGTCGCTGACCGCCTGTTGAAATTCAATACTATAGGACACATTGTTGTGATGGAATAGTAAAATTGTAAAATGTCTTGAATTGAACTGATAGTTGAAATGTTGCTTAATAAGGTCTAAAAAGTCTAAAACGAGTTAGATTTAGCTAAAAGTAGCAACAAAAAAAAGTTTTTAAGGCTTTGTTAAAATGTAGCTAAAAATTGTCCAACATGATAAAACAATTGATAAAAGAGTTCAAGAAAAATATAACCACAATCAACAAAATATCTAGCTTTCAGTAATTACTAGCTAAATGCTAACTAGCAAAGGCTAGTGTAAGATAGCCGGGGCGCACACAAGTGTTAGCCAACAGCAGCCGTAACAATCAAACTATGCTGGAAAAAAGGCTAAACGTCGTAGAGAGTTGGTCACAAACATGGTGACAAGTTAGCAAAAATAAAGCTAGCCCCAAATATTAAACCACACTTTGAAGATGTAAATAAACATTCCACCTTAAATTGGTAAAAAGTACACATGTACACAGTCCTTTTTTTTTGCAGTATTACAGCCTCATTTTACGTCCTGACCCAATATGTGACAGACAAAGGGACTGTGTTAAGCTAACGCTAATCTCTTTTCCTTGTCTTTAGACATTCGTACATTTACGTTTGAAACTTGCAGCAATCCAAAGTCTCCACCATTCCAGGGTTTTGCCCTGTGAAGCGCTGGAATTGCCTGCCTGATTAAAAAAACAGCACGAATTCCTGCGCGAGCACCGACTCTCATCAGTCGAACATCTGGCTCCAACCACCTGATGGCAAATTGGATTTAATCGCACTCCCAGCTTTTTTTTTTTAAACAACTTTTCGCCGCGGATACGTTTTACGACCGCGGAGCCGCATACGAACAGGAAATCTGTGGAAGTGATGTATTCCGCGCGCTTACGTTGCTTGTAGCCGGGCCGAGGAAATGGAGGCATTCAACGTGTAGCTGTCGCTGCGGGGAAACGGGGGACAGGATCTGGCTTATGGAGAAATATGGAATTGTTTTAAGACAACTTTTCCTGGGTGAACAGAATTAATTGTTATTAGCCCTCTCAAAGATATGCCTAAGTACACAGGGAGTATTATTGCAGTACTTCCCCATGCAGCCTCTCATTACGGCCTGTAATTACAGTTGGGTTGGCCCTGCGGCGCTTCCATCACCCTCCCCCCCCCCCGCCGCAAACGCACACACGCAAGCAGCTCACTACCGGGCATCAGTGGCCGGAATAAAAAAAAAAAACACCAGCAACTTGTTTCCTCTCCGCCCTACTACACGTGGCGAACGAGAAGGATCACGTCCTACTGCTGTGAAGGATCTAATTGAAACATGTTTATTTATGGCCCCTGTTCTCCCGGTGAGGAGCGGGCGTTAGCTGCGCGGCTAACGGGCTCCGGTGAATATGAGGCGGTGGAATTAAATTAAAAGCTCATAAAATGAAATATGCTCCGTATTAGCTGTTTGACACTTAATTTGCCTTCAAATGAGCAGAGGAAATCACAAATTAACTGTCCTTTGTTTTCCCCCCCGCTCTTTACCTCACCTACCCTATTAGGCAAGGGTGAGCGCAATTACAGACAGAGGCTAATCGTTTAGTTTATGAATTCTTGCGGGGAAGGTACCGATGTGCCATTCAATATTACAGCCCTGGGGGCTGGAGGATGAAGGGGGGGAGGGGAGGCGTGGTGCCGTGTTGTGACTGCCTTGCTCTACTGAACTCATTTATTCTCATGGAGAAAATGCATTTTTCAATGTTCCGCCAACCTTTTTGGATCGGAGTATTTGATAGGCTGAGACGGAGGACTGACAGAGAGACGGACGGAGGACGTGACAGAGACCGGCAAAAGACATCCCTGTGAGACTTCTCGGTCCAGAATCTGTCGGTCTCAGAGCTCAGGCTTCCTCAAAAACCTTACTCACAGGAACCTACGATTTGCAAATTTTTACAACTTGATAATACGTCAAAAACACCATGTTGTTTTGGGGCCATTTGTCTCTGTGTTGGTGGAGCGTAGCTTCCTTTGAGCTTATCTCAAACTCTCAGGTTAAGCTCCCGCATCCTTGGCTAGTTCTGTTGGCGCCCGTGCCGGAGTGTCATCAAGCCCTGACATGCTGCAGCCCTGTAACAACAAGCTCCTCCTGAGTTCCTGCGCTCTCCAAATCCGAGCCACTTCACGTGGTTCTGCTCTGATCCAGGGCCAAGGAAAGAGATCTTTGTCCAGAAGAAAGCAATTTTCCCTGCGCAGGGAAGTTCCTCCTCCACTGGAGGAGCTGCTTCCTGCCTGGACAGACACACTGATCAGTGAAGAGCACGCT